TTCTGTGTCTAGTCGTGCTGGCCACGTGACCATGGAAACTATCTACAGACAAACGCTGTCTCTATGGCTTGGAAACGGGGACGAGCACCGTGCCCTAGAGTTGGACACAACTGGACTGAATGTCAAGGGGAACCTTTACCTTTACCAGTTCAGGCCCTCCCCCAACTGAGTTTCCATGGCTGAGCAGGAATTCGAACCCTGTTCTTCAGAGTCCTAGTCCGTCACTCTGTCCACTGCACCACACCGGGAATCCTAAACTGCATTGTTCCTAAACTGACATTTTTCTACCGCAAATAAATGGTAAGTTGTTTTCCTTTCACTTTACTACCAGAGTGGCTATCTCTTTCCAATTGTCAAACTCAGCACTAAGCTGCTGCAGCTTGGAAGTCTAAATACCAAATAATGCTAACTCATAGTAGCTGAGCACAGAAGGGAGTAGCTGAGCTGGATGGATAAGACTTGACCCACTTTAGCACACCCAGATGCCCAGTTTAGCGTAATGCTGGAATAAACACTTGATGCAGGATAATGTCTCAATAATCTAGTGCACAATAACTTTCTTTTCATGCCTCCCAGCTGGAAGACTGGAAGGTGCATTGATACAGATTTGCAGCCGGAGAGATCACTTCTACAAAATGATTTTTAAAAGAGAGCATTCTGCCTTTGTCAAAAAGGATTGCAACGTCCTTCTGTCAAGATTCTGAAGGATCCATACCAGAAGATGACTCAGTTCAGCCTATGTCTCCTTTGCTAATCATGTTAGGCAGAGACCCTGATAGCCTGTTAACATCCCCAGGAGCCTCTCTAGTGTATTCCTAGCAAAAGCGACAAGCTGCAGTCTCTGATAGCCCCAGCTTGTACTCTGTACTTAGATGGAGGCTGCAACTACATGGACAAATACCATGGGATTTGCTCTAGTTATAAAACAGATGATTTTTTTTCACTAATAGTAACACAACCCAAAGGCCAGTCTGAATGAGTCCAGCCCTACTATTGCAAATAGCAGTCTAATTTCTGTACAACAGTGTCACCAAAATAACAACTCTATTGTCACTTTACAGACATAGTCAAGATCCTACAGAATGTTTCATCAGATCAACCATATTATTTCCCACCATTCCTGGTCCAATTCCATTCTTTTTTTTCTCTCTTTTTGAAAGTGCTATCTCATATATCTAGGAACTGGGAGAAGACACACAGGGATAAGCCAAGTTTTATGTCCTTGTACTTTAGGTCCAACACAAGGGCAAAAGATAGATAGATAGATAGATAGATAGACAGATAGATAGATAGATAGATAGATAGATAGATAGATAGATAGATAGATAGATAGATAGATAGATAGATAGATAGATAGATACATACATACATACATACATACACACACACACACACACACACACACACACATACATACATACATACATACATACATACATACATACATACATACTGTACATACATACAGTACGTACATACCCACCCCAGTAATGTACAGTGGTGCCTCGCATAGCGAGGTTAATCCGTTCCGGATTAACCTTCGCTATAGAGAAACATCGCTAAACGGAAATAAAAAAGCCTAGAAGTTCAATGCGTTCCTATGGCTGTAAAACTCACCATTAAGCGATCTTCCTCCATAGCACCGCAATTTTTGCGCCCTCGGTAAGCGAGGGCAGGGGGCGAAAATGCGCCGTGGACCTTCTGGCGGCCATTTTGGAACCGCCAATCAGCTGTTCTCCCCCGCTTCGTTATGCGATATTCGCTAAGCGAATCGCTTAGCGAATATCGCAAAGCGAAAAAACGCCATAGGGGCCATCATTGAGCGAATGCTCCAGCAATGGCCCAGAGCCCCTCGTTAAGCGATTTAATCGCTCAACGGGGTGCTCGTTAAGCGAGGCACCACTTGTATCTATTCAAGGCACTGCTAATGCAAGCTCCCCAGCCATGTGAGACAGAAAGAGAACTGTCATCTATTCAACAACATCACTCCAATCTCATGACATTGACCAGGAGCAAGTAGAAGAAGGAGAGGGTCAGAATAGCAAAAGTGTCCTTCTCCCTGTCACCAGGACTCTCTATATTTTATTTTTTTGGCTGAAAGACCGACTGCTGAAGCATTATTTCCAGAGCTAACCAAGCTGGAAGGAAAAGAGGAAGACCAAAGACAAGATGGATAGATTTCCTAAAGGAAGCCACAAGCTTGAGTTGGTGATAGCTGAGCAGGGCTGTTGAGGACAAGATGCTTTGGAGAGCATTCTTTCGTAGGGTCGCCATACGTCTGAAGCGACTTGATGGCACATAAGAACAATAACAACAGAAGATGGGCAATGGTGAGGAGAAGAAAAGTCATAGTGGACAGCTATTTTAGGCAGCAGATTCATAGATAGCAGAGAGCAATAGAGGCTTTCCTACTGCCAAATTATTGGGATATCATATCAGAACAAGTATCTGTTCCATCACTACGCTAAACTGAATATCTGGCTGTGCTGAAGTGGGCCAGGTCTTGTCCATCAGCCCACCTACTTCTTCATTCAGTACTCAGCTCCTATGTATTAGCATTATTTGGTACCTTGGTATCTATACTTGTAGGATTAAGCTGCTTACTGCCAAGCTTGTTCCAGTACCTTAGCTGATAGCCTCAGTTAGGTGAATAGCCAGCCAGCTGATACTCCAAGTGTTGACCACAGCTTTGACAACTGCCTCTTGCCAACCAGTGCTCATTTCCTTCAAATATTCCAGAAACCACACAGTTCTCACTAGTCCTTAGGAGGAGATCAGAGACTGAATTGGTTCCTGAAGAGAATCCCCCGCACAGTTCTCATGCAGTTTTATGGCACAGTGGTTAAACTGCAGTATTGCAGCCAAAACTCTGCTCATGACCCAGGGTTCAATCCCAGGTAGCCAGCTCAAAGTTCACTCAGCCTTCCATCCCTCTGCAATTGGTAAATTGAGTACCAAGCTGACTAGTGAGGTGGAGAGCAAGTGTAGTCTACATAATTAAATTGTAAACTGCCCATAGAGTGCTTTAATCACTACAGGGCAGTAAATAAGCAGCATGCTTTGCTTTCTTTAAAATGGGCCTGTTTTCTGCCTTCTAGGAGTGGATTTTCCCATTTAGTCTGAAACATGGTAGTAGATGGCTGCACATGCTCTCCAGTTAATAAATAACACAAACAGGCATTTAGCTGAAAAGCCATTTAACATCAGCTGTAATAAGTGACAGTCAAAATTATGATGGAGAACACCTACTCAAGATGATGAAATATGACTCAGAGAAAAGAGAGCTGATCTGTAATGAATGCAGTAGAACGCTTGTTTACTATGATTGCTATGTTCAGGCTGAAGGGGATGCATTAAAACATGCCGAATCATGATGATTGCTTCCATTTTCCTAATAAGCTTGCATCCCTTCTGGCATTATTATGTAAAATGTAGAATGTATGTAACAAGAGTTATAACATTCAATAATGGGGCAGTATGAGTATATAAATCTACAAAGATAGGTAGATTTAAATGAATGGTGCATTAATTTTCTTGTGAAATGAAGCAAAAAAAAAAAACTTACAGCAAACAGCCTTTCACTTCCTATAGTCTATTTTTTAAAACTTCTTGTTGCATTGTTATGTTTTTATGTCTCCATATCTTCAAAGAAAACTCGGTACTCAAAACAGACCAGCTGCCTCTTTATGCTGTAATGCTTGCCTCATTGAAACACAAACACAGATATTTAATTTCCTTAGCAGGCAGAAGAGAAGTTGATAATAACAAGCTTATTATTGAGTTAATTCTTTAATTATCAAGGGGCTGCTCTTGCTCATTGTGAAGTCAGGTGGGAGTTTTGCCACTGGAGTGAAAAAAAAAGGGCTTCTGCTGGTTAAATGTCACTGAACACTATGAAAATTAATGGGAGAACTCCACCCAACCCAGTCGGTGATATGGGAATATCTGTTTTTGTACCATCTGGGGTAGGTAATGTGTGTGGACCACAACTGTACCTGAACAGGAGGTCAAGGAAACCACTCCGAGCTTTGTGGAGGAAATAGAGGACATAACTATTAATATAACAATAGCACATATGATATTAGGGTAGCTTAGGACTTCTGCTCTGATCATACAGGCTCGGGGCCAAAACAAACACTTGGGATAACCTGTAATTAGAACTGAGAATAGTAGACTGATGGAGAGACGTGACTGAGGCATGTTTGAGAAATCAGACTTCAAAGGAATTTAGACTGATGGAGCGATGTGACTGAGGCACGTTTGAGAAATCAGACTTCAAAGGAATCCATCCTTTATGTTCTGAACACCAATCGCAAAACAAAGCCCAAAGTGAGAGGGAATAGAAACTCTTATTATTACTCAGCTCTAAAAGATTTCTTTTTCTGGTAAAAGCAGATCTAACTTGTTAGTGAGAGGGAATAGAAACTCTTATTCATCATTATTCAGCTCTAAAAGAGTTCTTTTTCTGGTAAAAGCAGATCTAACTTGTCTGTTTCAGCCTCCAGTTGTAACTAGAGAAGTAAACCTTGACCTGATTTGTATTCATGTGGTAAAAGGGAAAGCATTAGAAATGTTTTTCCCCCACCCCCCCAAAGAACTTCTGGGCACCTATGGGCTGGCAAGTATCTTGGAGAAAGCAGGCACACTTTTCTGAGTATTTTTGCTCATCATTGTAAAGTATGCAGTATTGGCAAATGTGATAATTATTACCTTTGCAAGAATGAGTGGTTTATTGCAAGATGTGGTGGTTTATGTCTTCGCGATCTCTAGCATGTCCCGTTTTGCTTGTTGTTCTGCATGTGCTTAGCAGAGCTTGGAATAAACTGATTATCTTTTAACTAATTTGGCTAATTTATTAACTTTTAAGCCAATGAAGGCCAAAAGCCTTAAACATGATGACTTATTTTAATTAAGTCCTAATTAATTTAACATTCATTCCCCAACTTTAATAGCTTTAATGGTTTTCAGTTTATCTGTTGTGTCGGGGCTGTAACTAGCAGTGAAGACGTGAAAAGATTCTGAACCACAACCGAAAGTAAGAGAAGTGGAAATGATTTTGAAAGGAGCAGCAGCAGCAAAAGGTCTTTTGTTTTAAATTCCCTGACTGTAGCGTGAAAGTGAGACTTCTGCATGGGAATAGCCAGAAACAAAGCAAGGCGAGGACAGAATGCAAGGTGTGCATATGTATAAAAGAAAACATGGAATCTAGCTTCACAGAGATGACAATGGGAAATCAGCTTATGTCAAAAAAGTGGGAGCAGGGGATTTGAAAAGGTTACCACTCAACTTTTACAAGCAGAGGTGTATTAATACAGGAGTCCAAGATGGAGGGCACCAGTTGCTCAGCGCACAGTAATCCCACAAGGAAAGAGTGAAACAAAGAACACTCCTCACTAGCTTCCAGGGCCTTTTACAGATTCAAAATAGCCCCTCCCCTCAGATGTTTTGATTGGCTGCTGACAACCTCACAACACTATCAAAGTGATTTGACAGACAAAGGGTGACAGGGCACCAAAAGTTTACATGAAAGAGTAAATCTGAAGAATAACCAATGAAATGACACAAAATTTGACTAAGGAGGGTAGTGTTGACCACAGAAACATAAGGCATTTTGCTTTTAAAACCAATTAATAACACAATATTTTGTTTAATGTTTCAGTTAAAAAAAATAAAAAGTTGACTCTATTAAAAATGAATTGCAAAATATGTTAACCTAAAATAAACCTAAAGTAAAATAAATTCATTTGGAAGAGTCTCTTAACCACAACCGTTAAAAATTACGAATTTTGCACTAACATTCCAAGTGATGGTGCTCAGCTTGATAAAGGGGAGATACTAGTTTTACATACAGAAAAGAGATTAACAGAAATTATATCCTACAATATTACAATTATGACACCTCCTCAAGAAAAAAATTTGAGTCAACTCCGTTTACAGTAGCTGACAGTTCTTGAGGAGTCAAGATGACTATTCTCAACTTGAAATCTTAGAAGCGGTAAAATGTCTTCACATCTATAATTACAGCTTATTACATTCAGAAAGCATTTTTACTGAAGTAAGAAGACTAGAAGCACTAGAGGTTCCCCAATTCAGGAAAGTGTGAAGACAGTGGAAGGTTATGCCACACAGGATGCTTCATATGTTGCTGTATTGTGATTTTCCAGAGAGACTAAATAATGCTCTCTCTCTCTCTCTCTCTCTCTGTGTGTTCAAGATGTTGAAAACTCACACCAGAATCATAGAAAGCTGTGCAGATGAGCAAGAAAATGAAGCCCATTATAAGTGAAAAGTGAAAACTACAGGTATGAAAAATAACAACTTTGCATACACAGTGATGGGATCTGAATTAGCTGTGACAAGCCAAGAAACAGAACTTGAGATTATGGTGGACAACTCAGTGAAAAGATCTGTTCAGAGTTCCGTAACTGTAAGCATTAGCCATATCTCATATTAAGGAAAGGGTTGAAAACAAATGGCCATGCAATATAATATAGCTGCATTATATGTAATTATGATTAGATCTTCTGTGAAAGAAAAAAACAGATGGAGAGAAGATGGAGAAAGAGCAACTAAGGGTGCAACTACACTGAAAGGGTGCAATTTGAATTGCAGCCTACATTATATTTGGAATCTCAATCAGTGCTCACAATTGGAATCTCAATCAGTGCTCAGATTGATTCAGCATTTCACCATTCATACTGGATGTGATGTGAGTCACATTTCAGCCCACAACCCCCTCTTCTTTCCTTCCTCTGATCCCATCTCTGCTGATCCTTCCTTCCTCTGGTCCCTACTCTGTTGGTCCTTTTATGGTTTGCTGTGAAGCTGCTTTATCATTTAAAGCTTTAGACTAATACATTTCTCAAAAACGTTTCTATAGAAAAATAGCACAGAAAAGTACATAAAGTTTTAAGAGTACTGAACATCAAAAGTTTGAACAATAATTTTTTTAAGTATATCAGAACTCACACATCAGAATAGAAGAGACGTGGTGGTGCTGTGGGCTAAACCGCAGAAGCCTGTGCTGCAGGGTCAGAAGACCAAGCAGTCATAAGATCGAATCCACGCGACGGAGTGAGCGCCCGTTGCTTGTCCCAGCTCCCGCCAACCTAGCGGTTCGAAAGCATGCAAATGTGAGTAGATAAATAGGGACCATCTTGGTGGGAAGGTAAACAGCGTTCCGTGTCTAAATCACACTGGCCATGTGACCACGGAAAGATTGTCTTCGGACAAAACGCTGGCTCTATGGCTTGAAGAGCGGGATGAGCGCCGCCCCCTAGAGTCGGACACGACTGGACAAAAATTGTCAAGGGGAACCTTTACCTTTTTACACATCAGAATAATTCAATAACAAAGATTGCCACTTTCCCCTTCCTATCCATTACACTTTTGCCTTAGTGAAGGTAATGCATGCAGGGATTATCTCAACTTGGGTCCCAATTTATCATCTCAATAGTTTAAAACAAAATGTGATGAGGCAATTGCTGCATGTAATGCTTTCATTCATTCATTCATTCATTCATTCAATTTTTCTATCACCCATCTGACCAGCATTCACTCTGGGCAGTTCACAACACAATAAAACATAGACAAAATATAACACAGCGCTCCAAATTAAACTGGCTTAGATTAAATAACAAAGATTTTAAAAAGAAGAAAAGAAAAGAAAAAACAAAGAGCAATAACCATAAAAAAGCTGATACTCTCACAGATTATAAATTGACTGATTCATAAGGATGTTTTAACAAGGTTTTTAAAAGACATCAAGGAGGGAGCCAGATGGATATCCAGTGGCAGATCATTCCAGAGGCAGAATGGACCTTCTCACATAATCTGACAGGATTAAGGACTAGCACCCAATCTCCCACATTAAAATCATAGTGTTTTGGTTTTGCATGTGGCCCAGGTCTGAACATCATGTCCCAACTACCAACTTCACACCAAAAAAACCTACAGATATGTCCTCTCCTGTCTTTACAAGAACGTATCACAACAAACTGCATGGGAAAAATAGCTGCATGGGAAACTACATTCCAGTTTGAAAAAGCAGAGAGGAAGGGGGAAAAACCTGCTTTGGGAACAAAAAGGGCTGGACCATTTCAATTCAGTATTTGAGACGTGTAGCTAGTAAAACAAACCTTCAACTTCCCCCATTTTATCCATGGAGCAAATCCTGCAGTATTCGACCATGTAGTCACATTCTCAAATGACACAGAGTTAGAGCATCATCTCTTGGCAACAACAATGGCTAAAATATTTGAGGCTTTTTGTTTTACGAAAAATGGATGGGAGCAAATGGGGTAGACAATTATACAACACAATTATGATATCAAAAGAAAAAGTAGCTGGAAAGACAATTTATCTTCCTTTCATACTAACCGAATTCATGATCACCCAGTGTAACTGATTAACAATAATTGCAAGACGCGCAAAAAAAGTCCTTCGTGGAGTACCTAAGTAATGTATTATTGTCCGCTGCAAAAAAAAAGATGTTGGGAAAAAAGATGATGGTTCATGGTGGGTACATTATCAACAGCTATTAGCTCTGACATACTGAAATAAGGTTCCGTTTTAAGAAATATGCATCTCAATAGCAGTTTTCAAAAAGGCAAAGAATTGGATAAGGCTTCTGTCTTCATGCCTTGTTTATGGTGATATGCCAGAAGCAGAATGTTGCACTAGAAATATATATGAAGCAGGACAGACGAGACCTGCTTCCTCAGGTGTAAAATCCATCCAATTTAATAGCCTGGGCAATTGAGTACAAGAGCAAAGGCCTTACACGTAGTATTCCAACTCCCAGGAAGCAGAGGAACTTTAATGGAAGATCTACCTAACTCAAAAAGAAGCATCACTGAAACATCACTGCAGCCATTTAGGGCTAAATCTGGTGAAAGTGGACCAATCAATCCTTTAGAATGGATATAAGAAGCTCACAAATTGCAGATGGCTGTCCCCTATCTTGCTTGTGTTGCAGCTTCTACAGTGGTGCCTTGCATTACGACGTTAATTCGTTCCAGGGAAATCGCTGTAGAACGAAAACGTCGTAATGCGAAATTAAAAAGCCCATAGAAACGCATTAAAACCAGTTTAATGCTTTCCGATAGGCTTAAAACTCACCGTCCCACGAAGATCCTCCATAGGGTGGCCATTTTCGCTGCCTGTGCAGCGAGGAATCCGTCCCAGAAAACAGTGGGGGGCCATCTTGCATATGACCATTTTGAAACCGCCGATCAGCTGTTCTAAAATCATCGTTGTGCGAAGAATCGGTTCCCGAAGCAGGGAACTGATAATCGCAAAGTGAAATTCCCCCCCTAGGTAACATCGTAAAGCGATCACAAAAGCGATTGCAAAAAGTTAATCGTAATGCAGTTTCGTCATTAAACGGAGCGATCGTAAAGCGAGGCACCACTGTACTTGCAACTATTATAATGACAGCAATTATGACCATGACTCTTCTGGCACATACTTTTGGGTGTGGAACTCCCAAGATTCAATGTTTGGTGTCTCTGGTTCAATGTTTCAGATAGAAAGAATGGTACCCAAAGATGTTGGAGAGCTAAAAACTGTTGAAGTGGACTTGCCAGTCAAATCAGATGGACCAATGATCAATATAAAGCAGCTTCATATGTTCAGAACACTGACATATTACTTTGCCATCATCTTGAACCAACAATATTATTGTTACTGCTGCTTTGATGTACTATCACACTGCATATCTTTCCACTGCAAGTGAATATCTTAGCTGGTTCTAATTTATTGTGTTTTGCTTTCAAAATAGCATCAAATAAATAAGCCTCTTGTCATGATTAATCACTTGCCAAATTTCATTTTGAAATTATTCCTTTGCAAGTTTATGGGAGTTCATGAAAAGGGTAAACTTCAAAGTTGTTGCAATACATTGTTTAAATTGTAAAATGCTTTTTTAAAAAAAGTTCATCTACAGATTTACATTTTATATTACATGATGCAGCTTAGGGCAGTTGTGGTTTTGTTTTCTAAAGCTAGACATTTCCAGGAAGCAGTTTTATAATAATAATAAAAAACAGCCAGTATTCAATACAACATGGTAAGTATAAAGGCAAAAATAAGAGGTGGGCCTGACACAAAATAAAATCCCTACATTCAGAGCTGGGAAAAAAAATAAGGTATTGTTCACAGAAATACACTGTCAAAAAGGAACAGAAGACCAGCTCATCCAGATGGCTGCCCAAAACACAGGGCCTCCAACAGCTTAACCCACACATGGTACAATGTGCAGCCACAAGGGAGCTGGAACAGCTAATAAACTCACACTAAGTTTTGCTGAGTAAATGAAATAAATTAAGAAAAGGGTGAAAATGGAGCTTGATCTACTGGTTGATTTCTATGTGTTTTGCGGGAGATGAATCACGACTTCTGACTCCCAGTTTTTTTAACAATACCAACATGAACATGATAATCCTGACCCAAATTATAATACCAAATACTTCTTTAAAAAAAATTGGGGGTAGATGTAATACTTCTAGCAGGGTCAGCAACTCAGTGGGTGGGTATAGAGAGCCCAAATTTAGCCTCCCTTTTTTCTTAGGGGCTCCACCAAGAAATGGTAAAAGGAATGTTGTTGTTTAAAACAAAGAGAAAGTAACCAGATTTCAGTTCTGATTTTTCTTCAGGTGCTGGAGGCACTGGGGGACCCTCTAAAGGTTCATGACATGAACATAAATAAGTTTCTCTGCATTTTCTCCTAAGAACTTATATGCCACCCAGAGACCTTTGGGTAGTATGGGCGGCATATAAGTTAAACAAACAAACAAACTGGGAAGGAGTGGAGTCGCTGTTCCCCCAGGGAGCAGAATCTGGGTCTTAATCTATCTGTTTAATTATTTATCTTATATCCCTCCTTTTTTCCAATACAGAGACACATTTTGTTTCACTATAATTTTGTTAATTTGTGGAAAGTAATGGCATTTAGAATTACACGTAAAAGGGGGAATGGAAGAGCAAATGGTGTTGTGTATTAATTGTGTATTTTATTCTAGGGTTTTCAAGGTGATGTTGTAGAGAAAAGGACACACCCCACCAAGTGGTCGGAAAAGGAAATGCAAGGAGAACCTAGTGTTTCAACTGAGCATACCATGCTTATTTGCAGAGTTATAATGTTTTGCGGGTTATAATGTTTCATTGCACCTGCTGGATAAGGTAAAGAGGAAGACAGTCTATTTGTGTCTTTATGTTGGCATACATATACTGTTAGAGTACAGCAGGATTCACCGTAACCTCTGGAATATATGGGTTGGATTACTGGAATGATGCAAGCTTAAATAAAGGAGATAGTATTTGATGATGTATAGAAGAAAAAAAATGGGGAATAGAATGCTCTGAAAACATCCTTGAGTTTCTGTCATGCATTGCATGTCAGCAAATATTTGTTTTAATAAAGCCTTCACCTCTACAAAATCTTCCCTTCTTCGGAATTTCTGAGTTGTAAAACTCACACTGTGAGAATTTCTGTCACTGCAACCTGCGTGGGTCATAATGGCAAGCACAATGAACACACCCTCACACCCTGAATGTGTTCTACTTTTTCCATTGTGAACAAAGTAGCAAAATTGCATTCCCATACAACCACATCAAGGTGCATTATATCTAAAGGGAGACAACTTGCCATGGCACTGGGGGCAGAAAAACTCACCTTTCATCATCCCTAGCAATAAAAATACGACAATAAACTACATTTGTTGTTTATCAATTTCCTGCAATATAACTGTCAGCAACCGAAATAAGCCCTGGGCCCTAAATATAGTTCAAGGGTAGGCAGATGTTAAGCTTCTCACATCTACTTTGTCTTTTTCCAGAACCCTGAGATACATCAACCAAAGCATTTTTTTTTCAAAGCGGGAGCCATGTCCACCTGTTCCAGACAAAGTACTTTGACTCAAAACAAAGAAATTTCAGCGTGAGCTTTCAAAGATCGCAACTGATGTCTTTAGATACTGGAGCCCAATGTTTGGGCCCCAGGTTTATATCTAGTGTACACAGTGGGGGAGACAGGAATAGGACCAATTGTGAGGAATGGAGGGTGAGTGGAAACAACTGGAATGACAAAAAGCACATTAACACATGGAAATAAAATTCCAAGCTGACAGTGACATTATTAGCAGTAAAATACATACTGCAGGAAATGGTATGTAAGCAGTGCAATTGAGTGACGGTATATATTTCAGGGAAGCTTCCAATAATGTCCTTGAGATTGAGCATTTAGTTATCATTGTGTTGAGTGTACTAGAAATGCTGGAAAAGTGTGGATTTTTTGTTCATTTACCCATATTCAGAGGTGATATAGAGAAGACCACTTCTTTCCAGAAGAGGCTGCTCGTAATGTGAAATCTTCACTGGAGATATCCAATAACCAAGAGAAGCCAAGTTGAAAGGTATATGAGGTGGGGCCTTCCAAAGCAGAGCAGGTTGGCTCGATCCCGATTAAATTTTAGACTTCGGTAACTGTTTTGTCAAGGCTTTAGCAAAATGTATCTTTGTGGATTTTGTTGAGATATTGAATTTTATGTAACCATATATCTTGTCAGGCAGAGAAGCAATATATTGATAAGGGCTTGCCAAAGCCATTTTTATCCACCACTACTCCCAAGATATTTTGAGGTCTGAAGCATGGAAGCAAATGGCATCATCCTGCCCGCTCAGATCAAGGATCCACAGTCACTGACCTTATTTGGGCCCAGGGGGGAAGAAATGCTCGAGTGTTTCTCTCCATCTTTATCAATACAATATAAAATAGTCACCAATTGGCTTGCCTCTTTATGACACTTAAATTCAGTGCCTAAGGCAATTACCTCATTTTGCCGAATGACGGGCCAAGCCCTGATATGCTCTTTATAAATATGTAATATCTAAGTAGGATTGTGGTTTTAGCATGTATCAAAACTAGGAGATCTGGCAGAGTTCATCTGAGTTGGTTTACTTACTTACTTACTTACTTACTTACTTACTTACTTACTTACTTACTTACTTACTTACTTACTTACTATCCCATTAGTGCGAAGCACTATTCTGGGCAGTTAACAATATAATAAAACACAGCAAACCGTAACAAAAACAAAAGTGAAACAATACAATTAGAAAATAAACAGACAAAACAAAATCATGTAAGCGAGCTGACAAGGTTAAGTAAATTCTGCCAACTTCCCCCCCCCTTTCCTCTCTTGTTTTTATCTTAATTATTTTTCTAGGCATGTGCCTCTTATTTTGTTGTAACAGATTGTACCTAAATGTCACTGAGCTGGCTGCTGGCCTTGATGTAGACTAAGGATGTTCTACAATGTTGAAAAAACAGTAGGACTGAATTCTTCTCATTCTCTGTGTTGTATGGTGCTCCTCACAACTTTCTTGAGTATGAAACAACTACTTACCATGGGTTTAGGAAGCCAGAGTTACACCTTGCCTGAATGAATATTTTATTTACAGTTGCTGCCTGCTACACACTTCTCTCTGCATACCGAATCTGCAATCATATGTCGGCTAAACACAACACCACTTCCTCTATATGTAAGACTGCACTGTGTGTGCCACTTTTCCCCTCCTGATACCCAAGACATTTCTTCTTGGGTGTGTCCTTTTGATTCTTAAGCCTCAGGGGAGGTATTGGCCTGTTACTGACCTCTGTAAGCCGCTCTAGGAATTTATGAGTGGGGCAGAGGTGTGAAATAAAAATGTTTTAAATAAATGATTATATGAGTACACTGGAATTAACACTCATCCCCATTTTAGAAAGCTGGAAGACGCAAAGCAAAGAGACTTTGTGGAAGTGATATTCTGCTCCTGCAGCTGAAAACGGCTAGCTGCACTTGATAATGAGGTCAGAGCATTCTTTCACTAATCTTGCACTTTGACTTTTGTGATCATAATATGAGTAGTATTTGAGCAAAGCAAATACTGGAATGTCGCTTCCCTTGGCTTTCTTCTTCTTGCTGAGCACAAGGCAATCGCTTGCACGCCACCCGCCTCTGTAAGCCATGACTGCTGTCTTCTCAACTGAATGTCACCATGTAGCTCACCATGTAGCTCTGTTTACTATTAGATGAAGCCAGAAACTAACAGATGAATATTTCTAAGGCAACTGAGCAAGTTTTCTTCTGAGATAATTACATGTGTGTTACCATTAAGTAATCACCATTATTAATACCAAAAAAATTTGCACCTAATAGCACTTACTTCAAACACTTCATTATGAATGTTCTTACACTTTTAAAAAATCATTACATAATTCCCTGTTTCCAGCTTAGTCCTCAAAACATGATGAGGAGATAACTACTGGATACCTCAGTAGTTTAGTGCGGATCCAGATTTGGGAGTTTATTTGATTTCCGTCTATGCTTAACAGGGGCTGGAATCAATGATCCATAGGGTCCCTTCTAGCTCTGCAGTACTAATTATGATGATGAAATTGTTGTTTTTCAGATGACTGGTGGGACTCACAGGATTGAACGTGACACATCATCCTATTTATCTTGCCTCATCTCCCAAAACCGCATTGATTTAATAAAGTTTCTTAAACATAGCTTGCTTGCTTTCCAATGCACTATTTTCAGTACACAGAAGCTAGAGTCCTGTTGTGCAGTTATGCAAACAGTCTAACTTTTAGAGGCAAACTGCCATAAATTAAAAGATTTCTGTAGATATTATCTGTTGCACACTGAGTCACATGGTTCAAGAATGCAAGAGACAGAGTCTATGGAGATTTCTAAATCATGACAATTGGCTTCCAAGTTACGCCACTTGCACAATGAGATTTCAGTCAGAGACCGATTTTATTTTCATTAAAGGAATCTGCAGTATGAAACAGTAAGATATTGTAAGTATTGGAACAAAGAACCAATCTATCTGAGTAGTGGAGACATGATGGAGAGAAGGAAGAAAGGAAGGTTTTCTTCCTTCTTTCTCTGAAATCACTTCCGGGTTTAACTTCTCCTTAGACTAATGGCTTTCAGCAGACTCTCCACATATAGACACCAGCTCTAGGGACTTTTGTAACCCAATTGAGAGAACTTATGATCCTGCACTATCCTTAAATAGATTTCCTACTCCCTGGAAAAAACCCTGATGTTGGGAAAGTGTGAAGGCAAGAGGAGAAGGGGATGACAGAGGATGAGATGATTGGACAGTGTCATTGAAGTGACCAACATGAATTTATCCAGACTCCGGGAGGCAGTGGAAGACAGGAGGGTCTGGTGTGCTCTGGTCCATGAGGTCACGAAGAGTCAGACACGACTAAACAACAACACTTAACAAATAGTGGCCAAAATCATGCTGTATAACAAGCAAAGTCAGGCGTTTTGGTCAATTCTTTGCCAGTAAATAAATAGCACCGACACAATTTTCAAGGGCACGTGTGCATGCTGACTTCGTGTGCACATGTACAATCACAATGGCCAGAAACTACTTTGTTTACATGACAAAACAGGATTTTTAGTGAATAAGCTTCCTCTGCCTTTATTTCATTCTCTCTTGCTCATTTTGCCTTAGTAACAGTTTTAAGTGCCTACTTTCTTTTCACAAGTAGTCACAAGCCTAGCACTCTACATGTAAAATACTAAACCAGTAAATACCTAACAAGGTTTACTTTTTCATCAGTTTTTTCTAAAGCCTAAGTGTCATTCATTTTTGAAGCATCATATCAGCTTCTGCCAATGTCAGTTTACACAATTTCAAAATAATAAACTTGCACACACATGAACTCCAAAGCTGGCAGTTTTGTTTTATTCAGCATCAAGGAGATTAAAAAGCTCAGCTGACAACCCAAGCAAAAGAACTGTGAAACAACAGAGCATCATTACAAAGAAAGCTCGCTTACACGTGGCTTCAATTATACATAGAAAGCATCTCTCAGCCCTGACCTAGCATTCTATCCGATCCCTCAAGTATTCTGTTTTGGCTGCTTCACTTTCCAATTCCACATACCCTTTGGTGGATGTGCAGTGGCACCAAAAATGTGACACCAATGAGGCTTCTAGAGAGATCTGGGTGGTATCCAGTGGTGTATTAAAATGTGCATAAAATGCTCATTGCAGAACAGTAGCTACCCTAAATTCTCCACTAAGTATGGATTCCTGGGATAACATTATAGGAGTACTAGCAAACATTCGGTGAAATTCCAATGAATGTTTGTGACTACTGATGTCTAACATCATTATGAATGATAGGGTTGACAGGGTCAATGTGATGTGGAGGTTACAGTGCAGGTTTGAAACTTGAGAGATCCGTCTCCACTGAGCCAAAAAACTCACTGGGC